CGCCATGCGCTCGGCACTTTGAAGTGAAAGTTGAGGGTCCTTCGGATGAGACCTTAAAAACCGAGGCCCCATGTCACGGCAGGCGTTGGCACGATAAAGATCCCTCACTGCTCAATGGCCCTGAGTGCCGAGTAAAGGTCAAAATTTGAATCCCTTCACCGGTATATGGTGACGTCTCTATATGAGTGAAAAATTCTCGAATGGGACGTTATACAATATACAATCAATCAATCAATCAATGTAAAATATGAAGATAAAAAACAGTGATCAATATCATAAACAAAATAAACAAAACGAATCATGAACAGGACAGAACACGGTGCGCTGGAAACACTAGGTGGGATCAGGTGCCTAGGAGGAGTAAGCATCCCCTCTTGACCGGTCACATCCGCCATGAGCCATATTGAGATTTGATTTATAAACATATCTCTGGAGAAGACCTCAAATAAAGTCTGACTGTATGTAAAACACACTGGTAACAAATTGTACACGTATGAAATTGGTGGAGGTAATTCTGACGGATATTTACCTGCACACAAAATATACAGATTAATCATGAGTAGTCCCTACAAGGGTGGGAAGAAGTTTGAGTAAAAAATAATATTAAATGCTTTATAAGAGATGAAGACATCGTGATAGCAATGAGAGTCGAACCCACCCCAACCCCCGCCCCAGTTCATGAAGTATAGAAAAAAATAACCCCTCTTGAAATGTTCTCTGGGTAATTGAAAAAGATAAACAATATTTCATTATCAAATCCACTTACATCATATATATATATTAGAAACATAATTCTCATTCTGTTTTATTTTCATCTTTATGGTATACAAACATGTTTAAAAATGAGTTTGATAAAAAAAAGAATAAAATAAAATGTTCTATTTTTAATTTATCATAAAACAGTCCTAATAACAAAAATGAATAAATAATGAAATAAAATCAAGCCAGGACAAAAAGAAAAGTGAAATTAAAGTGTTAAATGACATTAATTACCATTAATTACCATGCTAGTTCTTTGTGCACAGCGATCAATTCATGTAAATTCTTGTTCAAACTGGAAATTCTACTTAGTATATTTGTGTTCTAGGTAACGTTTAAGAAAAAAAAAACACGAAGACCAGGAAGAAAATCTTGCTTTATGATGGAAAAAAAGTTTTCATTTACTATGAAAATTACTTTGAATTTGAATAATTATGGAAAAACTATGAAAGTTTTATTACTATAAAAACAAATTCTCAATTAAACGTTCATTATCTGCTTACATCTTTTTTATTTGAAAGACAACTGGACAATTTTTATTGGTATCATTAAAATCATTATAAATTCTTTTTTCCTTAATCTTCATATGTTTGTGTACTAAATCACACTACTTTATAATAAATTAATGTCTTTCAAAAAATAAGGAAACTAGCAAATTAACCTTTTTATTAACAAAAGACATAGTCACTTTACTTTCCCCTTTGAGTAACTTATTCAATTAATCTTATCATCTTTGAGTACTTGTCAAGAAATCGCTGACCCGCTAATGAACAAAAGATTAAGGATAGGAAGCAGAATTTACACATTATAAGTCATGAACAAACTATCATCAAATCTAAGATGAAGTTCAAACCGCTATGAAGTTTTTTGAAATTATGGGCCCGTGGGATAGGTGCTGTTAAATCATGAAAAAATATGACAAGCATACCATGTTAAACAGTAGATTCACACTTTTCCGTTTATTTGTACATATTTTATTTTTATTTTTGATAATTTTATTAGAACCTTCTGGTAAAAACAACAACAGTAATAATAAATTTTAGAACAATCTATTTACATGATCATATATTTAATCTTTTTCTTCAAGTCATTCATTGCTGAATTAATGTATTCTCACTCAGGCCCAAAGGTTAATTATTAAATGTAAGGGAAATATGAATGTATGCATATTTTACAAACAATGCATGTAGTCTTGCTGCTCTAAAGGAGAAAATGCTTTTTTAACATTAACATTTTATTCAGAGCAAATTATTTTAGGATATCTTAATTTCTCGTGAATGATAGCATTTGTCATTTAATTGGTGATTGGCAATTGTGGTCCCTAAACAGGATTTTTCTTGACACAACATAGCATTACATAACATCATAAATCGTCATTGTAATATAACAGGAAACAATAATTGTGAATTTTAAAAGCATGCCTCTGTGAACTAAGTTTTCTGTGTCGATCTTGTTCTCCTTAGCTTTAATACTTATTGTTTAAGTTTTCAAATGCTTAATTAAACATGTGTTTTATGTCAGATAAATTGCTGTAAATTTTCAGGTGTTTGATTGCATGCCTGCATTGTACATTTTAAAGTGTTAATGTGTAGGGCATTTTGCCAAAGCATATATGCAAGTATCGGTTTGTTTTTACAGTTCATTAACTAAAAAAAAAAAAAAGAAAAACATTAAATTAATTTTCAATTCTCTGAATCTGCTATTTCTACTCAAAAAATATTAATTGATGTAAAGGAGAAACTTTATACGTATTATGCCACAGCATATTTTAGAAGTGGTATAAATAAAATCATATTATGTTGATTTTCAAAAACTTCAAAGAACTTTTAGAGAATTTAAAAGCACACATTTTTTTTTCAAAAGTCGGTAAACGGGAATGACTTTTTTATTCTTTATACAGCTATTCCTAGCGATAAATTAAAAACGATGCTTTCTGATATTATGATAACTGATTGTTAAGATTCTACACCCAAAAAGTCTAAAGTTGATATTAAAAGATACTGGAGCTCCTCATTGATGACATCTATGTAGTCTTTGGAGACCATGTCTTCCAAAAAGCTGTTGGAAATTCTATAGGCACTAATTGTGCTCCTTTATTAGCCGACCTCTTTTTATATTCGTATGAAGTAGAATTTATTCAAAAACTTCTACATGAAAGAAGAAAACACTTGCTGTGGCCTTCAACTCGAACAAAATAGTTACTTTCATTCATATGTCGATATATTCCAGTGAATTCGAAATAAAAGACACCACAGAGTCTACTACATCTGTTTCAAATTTGGATGTTTTTCTGACTTTACACGATAATGGCCAACTAAAAATTGCATTGTTTGACAAACGAGATGAATTTAGCTTTTCTATCGTCAACCTTCCTTACTTATGTAGTAATATTCTGACATCATGCGCATAAAATTTTTATGCTCCCAACTTATTTGATACTCATTAGCGTGCTCTGAATACGATCTATTTTGAAATTGAGGCAGGCTATTGACAATAAGAATGATGTTACAACCTCGTTTAAAGTCAGCATTTCGTAAATTTAATGGTCATTGCAATGATCTTGTTGGCAATTATAACCTATACCTGGGTGGTATTTTGACTGATATATTTCCTATCAATTGTTAGGCCTTTGATTTTAGGCTAAATTTGACTACGGATTATTTTGTCTAGCTGACCAACACATAGGGCTCACAACTTTCTAACGTTGAATATATTTCTTGCATGTTTTAAAATGTTAGATGTTACTTCTTGTTTAATGTGGTATATGTACTTCTTTAAATTGTACATTTATGTTCATTGGAGCTAAATATCTATACGTCTGGTATTAAAGTGTCTAATATATTTTTGAAGAATGTTATGCATGCATTTTTATTACTACTTCCGATATTGGTATTTTTGTTTGCAATTTACGTTCAATATAAGAAAAGTGTGTCTACAAGCTCCAATATACTACAACATCCAACATTCCTACATGGTCGTTGTATAATACTTGTACATTTTGACGGATTATTATTATTCAAATATCTGATTTTTTTTAATGTATGAGTTGAAGATAACGAAAATAAAACGATCTAATCAACTCTTTAACAAAATACAATTCGTGCAACAGGGAAGAATACGGACGCCTAGATACACAAGAGGTGTGATCAGGTGTCTAGGAGGAGTAAGCCATGAACTTCGGTAATGATCAGATAAACGGAGGAATCCGTAGTATAGATTTGTATGTGACAATGCCCTAACAGTCTGTATGAAACTTGTCAGTCAAAATACAAACCAAAAATAGTTTGTATATGCAGATGCAAGCAAAGTGATTATAACGTCCGTTGAGTTTTCAAATTAAGTTTAAAGGAGATCGTTGAAAGTCCTGTAACATCCCTTTTTTGTCAGTAGTCTGCCTTGGATTAAATATTGATCGTTCTTAAATCATGCTCTGCAAACCGAAACAGGTGGTAAATATAAACAAAATTTGTAGATGATGTTGGAATATAACAGTGTAAACAAGGGTAGTTGACGATAGAAAAAACTGAAGTCATCATATTTATCATAGAGTCCAATTGATACTTGGCCATTAAGGTGTGTAGTTATTAAAATATATCAATATGAAACATATATGACAACCCTTTGGTGGTGTGTTTTATCTCGAGATCGGTTTCAATATATCTATTTGAACGATTTTTAATAACAGATCACTTACTCAGATATTTAGCTGATTCGATTTTGTTTGTGTACATATATATGGCTTTTTGTTTGTATCGTTCCAAATGTCTTTTCTAATGAACAAGGATATTAACAGGGATTTTATGAAGATAATGGTATGTCTTGAAGGTCTCTAAGAAAGAAATCTGAAAATATAGTTGTGCCTTAATGTAGTCAATTATTATTTATTCTGCTAATACTTTAACCATTTTAACATACATAAGCGTGATGTGTCAAATGCAAACAGGTGTGTGCATCACTGAACGCTAAACAAATATAAACTTCACGAGAAAAATATTGTAAATAATTAAAACACAATATTTTTGGAAAATAAATTTTTTAATGCATAATGTGCTTGGTTTCTTTACCTGTATGGACTTCATAAACTGGTTTAAGGTGAACAATGATTTTGACACCGTCAGTCGTTTATGGAATTTTGAAAAGATTTTCCTCCACCTTTAACTTAAGAAATGTAAGTCAGCAAAAACATTCCCTCAAGTGGGAGGAGCGTATTGTGTGTATAAATTGATCTTCATTAAATTACTATCCATAATTCTTCTCAGAAATTATCCAGAATGTTTGGTGGAACTACTGTCTTATTCCTTGTTGTGGCATTGTTCATTGTAGCCCCAAGTGAAGGTAAGCGGGAAAATAAAAACACGCAATCTTCAGTTGTAATTTTTATTGAAATAATTTTACTCAAGCCTAAAACATAGAGGATATGTCATCAGCTTGCTAACTTTAGACATAAAAAAGTACTAATCAAACTAGACAACAATTCTAACGCAAAAAATAGAAATATTTTCAAAATGCAAAAATAAATTTATTCAGATTAAACCTTTCAAAATAATGAACATATATATAATGCTATATCAAGGTTAGAAGAATGAATTTTCACGCGAGTAATAGATAAGCACAATCATAGAAAATTTTATTCTACCCATTCGTTGATCTTTATCAGAGTACGAATTCTGTTCCCATATTAGAGAATGTTTTAAATTTATTATAATTTTAGTGTGTAAATTTAATTGAATAATTGTTATACAAGAAGTCCGCATGTTAGTTATCATTTAACATACTAGAAAATCCTCTAAAAGCAAGAATTGTTTTCAAATTTGTTTAAAGTGGGAAATGAATTTTTAAAGCTTCATGTCAGAATCACATACAAAAACATGCGAAACGATAAAAAAAAAATAAGCTTTAATAAATTATGAAATTTGTTTATTGCTTAACGTTGTTACAGAGGTGTTATATAATATCTTGTGCATATTCAATCGAAGGTCTGTGCGTTATTTTTTATGTTTTATTTACATGCACATCCTGTAATAATTTCAATTTACTTTTAAAATGTTTACAGTGTTTTATAGAAAATGTTAAACTGTACTTTGAATTTAGTAGAACACTACTTATTTATAATCTGTTTGATCTACGAAGGTTGCTCTCTCTCTCTCTCTCTCTCTCTCTCTCTCTCTCTCTCTCTCTCTCTCTGAATATTCAAATTCACTTTTCTGTTATTATCGTTCAAAAATAAATGTATTAAATAAAATGCTAAAGCACGATAATTAACAATTATTTACAAATATATTAATTTGTTTGACATTATATATTACGTGAATTGTAAGTATGCTTCATGCCTCTTTTATACTTTTGTTTTCCATTTAGGTTATTATGGTTACGATGGAGGATGTGCGTGTCCTGCAGTATATGATCCTGTATGTGGCGTAGATGGACAAACGTACTCCAATTCTGGATGTCTTGCATGCGCGTATGTTAATAAAATTATTTTTTTCTCGAAAGAATTTATGTATTTCGACTAATTTTGACTGAACGAGGCCGAGTCTAATTATTTCTACCCTAGAGATTTTGATTAATTTTCTTGAATTAATTTTTACTATTATATTCATTGTTTTAAGATTAAAATATCGAACGTTTACCGTCCCGAATTCTTACGGGGCCATCTCAAAAGTTGTCAAATTTTACTATTTGACCCTATGGGAATTTGTTGTAAAAGCGCCAAATTATCACATTTTTTTCCCCATATTTTTGTATTTCTGCCCTTGGGTTTTCTTTTTCAGCCAAGTACATGTAATTTATTGTAAGAAGTCACCAAATTGTGAAATTTTAAAAAAGTTGACCATCTAGATTGGTGTAGGAATTATCACAAAGTTTATTTTTTCAATGCCCAATACCTCTAAAATTGCCATAATGCGGTATATGTATATATCGCTTCAGATAAATTATCAGTGCAGATGAATTATTTTGGTAAAAATAGCAAAGTTTAGATTGCTAGTATGTTTCTTTTGATGTTCTATCAACATTTTTAGTAAAATATCCATGGACGTCTTGAATATATAAGCGAGTCATGTGTCATTCTTCAGCGTCATGCATTGCTTACAAAATCGGAAAGCAGTGCATTAGAGCCATTTCAGCGATTTCTACTAATTATTGTCGTAAAAGCACAATTTTAGACCCATAGCTGTTACAGATAATGTTAATTTTGTATTTAAATCACAATATTTGGGAAAGGTGTAATGTCGCAAATATGATTGCATGAAATTAAAAAGCTGCGCAAAGTCATGCGCACTCGAATTAGACTCGGCCTCGTTAAAATCAAGTACACTTTATAAGAAATTAATCGGAATACTTTATTTTCTATGAAGAATTACGTATCAATTTATTATATTTAAAAAGAGGTGATCAATCTTATCATTCTCACGTGAAATGGAAAATATAGCAAAAATTACTATAGCTTAATTCATAACATTTACAAGATCAAAAACCATTTAACAAAATAGTTTCAAAAAATGAATTTTTCATACTTGAAAAAAACGCAGTTAACGAAAGCTTTTACATTTATTTTTGTTTACAGTGGTGTTCCGATGGCTTGCAGAGGAACATGTCCATGTTATTACAGACCCTACAGACCCTACAGACCTTACTGAGCATAACAACAGCAACGTTTTACAGTAAATGTTAAAACTGTACTCTAATAAAGTCCTTTTAAAAACTGCATCAATCGTTAGTGTTAAATTTCACGTTTCAGTACAATTATAAAAGTGGAAATTTTCCTGACTCTAATAGATAACATTCGATTTCATCTGAGGCAAACAGTATGAGGACATGACGTCTTGAACTTTTTTTGAACTATTTTGATTCCTAATCTAATTCCTGATAATTTGTTATCCCTTAAAAGTGTTTTATAAGCGTGATCTTTTAACAATATTTATTTTGTGACATTTACATTACAATTTCTTTTTTTTTAAAGAAATTATCTATAATTGTCTCCTTAGGGAAATTTTTTCGTACATCAATGCTTTGGAAAAATTTAAGTTGAACAAAAGGTTATCTTCTTTTGTGTACATTCCTGTCCATTATATGAGTTTTATGCTTCACATCCTTTCATTATAAAGAAATACAAGTGTTCTATTCATTTTAAATATAGTTTTATTCTTTTAAACATATCTTAGTTTTAACTTTTTATGTACTTTATCAATATCGTAAATAGTGCGGATCTGACAGACAACGTATCACTTTTGTAAATCGCTGAGGATATTTAACACCTTTAGATAAGTCAACGCACAAAATTGAGATTCAAGCTACCAACTAACTTTGAACAGATGAGATCTGCGCTATGTGATCTGAAACTCTTTAAGGGACATCATGAAAAGTAGTAAATGGAGAAAAATCAAAACTAAATTTGATGTTCCCTTGAAGATTTAAGCAAGGACTATCAAGGACGTTAAAATGTTCAATGGATATACATGTATAACTTTGATAGCAATTTAAAAACCTCTAGTTTTTTTTTTTTTTTTTTTTTTTTTTTTTTTTTTTTTTGAAGTTAGATGTAACATGTCCTATGTACAAATGTATACATAAAGGATTGAATTAGAATATATGTAGTATATCATAAGCGTACGGAAGGTTTTCATATCACTATAGATGCTCCGTATGTCATTATGTAATTTGTAAATAAACCAGGTTGATTTTTTGATTGATTGCATGTTGTTTAACGTCCCATTCGAGAATTTTTTCACTCTTATATACACGTCATCGTATGCCGGTGAAGGACTTCAAATTTAGACCTATACTCGGCAGTCTGGGCCATTGAGCAGTGAGGATTCTTTATCGTGCCAACGCCTACCGTGACACGGGACCTACGTTTTAAAGGTCATATCCGAAAGACCCGTGACTTTCACTTCTTATGCCGGCCGTTTGGCGAAGGAACAGTCACTACCTATGTTTACGTCTTAGCTGCTTTTTCAATAAAAATGGAACTCGTAAATATACTTACCTTGTCATTGGTCATTTGCAAAATTATTTTGTTAAAAAACATTCTGATTGTACACACAAGTACTCTGAAGTTGACATTAAAAAGATGCTTGAGTTTCTGATTGACAATATCTAAGTGGTTTTTGGAGACCAGGTCTTCCAACAATCTATTGGAATTCCCATGGGTACCAATTGCGCCCCGTCATTAGCAGACCTTTTTTTGTATTCATATGAAGCAGAATTTGTCCAAAATCTTGTACGTGAAAAGAAGAAAACACTTGCTGTGGCCTTCAACTCGACATTTAGATATATCGACGACGTATTGTCAATTAACAATGGCTATTTTCATTCTTATGTCGATACGATATATCCTGGTGAACTTGAGATAGAATATAGTAACAAATGCACGTCAACTCTCTGTTGATACAAAATTTACAATATGACAAATTGTTCAATTCGTATTCACTTCAATCTGTTTTACCGGTCACGATAGCCTAGAGGTAGGGCGTTTGCCTCGTGATCGAGATCGAGATGCCCGGGTTCGATTCTCGTTCGCCGCGCTGCGTCAAATGAAATATATGGAGATAGAACTTACGAAATGATGACTTTAAACGCGACAGCTGATATTCTTGTTTCATCAACTTATTTGTCAATAATTTACCTCGTTTAAGAAATTGTACATACGTAGAGCATGCTCTTGCGTGTCGAGTCAACTGAGAGATATATACCCCGTACATGTATGTAGGTGATGAAGGTTTATTGCTGCATAAGTAAGGGAAATTGACGATTGAAAAGTTAAAGTCATCACGTTTATCATAAAGCTTGGTTGTTAGATTACCATTAACGGCTTTTTCAAGTGAAATATCCAAATATGAAACAGATGTGTCAGACTCTGTGGTATCTTTTATCTCAAGCTCACCAGGATATATCGTACCGACATAAGAATGGAAATAGTCATTGTTAATTGACAATACGTCGTTGATATATCTAAATGTCGAGTTGAAGGCCACAGCAAGTGTTTTCTTCTTTTCACGTACAAGATTCTGGACAAATTCTGCTTCATATGAATATAAAAAAGGGTCTGCTAACAACGGGGCGCAATTGGTACCCATGGGAATTCCAATAGATTGTTGGAAGACCTGGTCTCCAAAAAACACATAGATATTGTCAATCAGGAACTCAGGCATCTTTTTAATGTCAACTTCAGAGAACTTGTGTGTACAATCAGAATGTTTTTTTAACAAAATAATTTTGCAAATGACCAATGACAAGGTAAGTAAATTTAGGAGTTTCAATTTTATTGAAAAAGCAGCTGTCAATGATATCAAAAAGCCTATGGACCTTTTCGCAAAAAATCGTACGACATATTATTATCTTAAGTGAAAACTTACAATAAAAATTGTTTTCACAATAATTCTTAAGAAAGTGGTAAGTGCAAAATCTGTCGTAACTTTACGAGAGCCCCAACCCTCTCTTAAGTATTTTAAAACCGATTTTATTGTAAAAATATAACCGCAAAAACCAAAATACACTTTTCATTGAACTTTATAAAGCAACGTCCAATAATGTTTTATATTTTTTTCACAATTATTGTCGAAAAATTAAATGAAATACACTACAAAATATTTACACTGTAAGTTTCACTTAAGAATTTCGTATGACCTACTTTTACGTCAGACTTATGATTGTCACGTCAGATTTTAAACTCCCTTGCTTCACGAACGATTGCATTCAATATATGTAGTCAATAATGTTTGTTATGCTGACAAATGTTGAAAACTAAGTTTTACTTTTATTTTCAACCATTTATTTAAGGGTTATAAAGCATATTGAAGTCATTGCTAGGGATGAAGTCTGTCGTAAGTAAAATCTTAAGTTCAATCTGCTAAGAATGCGTTCGTGAAACGCATTTAAGATTTATCGTAAGAGATTCTTAAGTTAAAATCTTACGCAAAAACTTAAGATTTTTTGTGAAAAAGGGTACTAGACTTTAATTTATCGTGGGGAATGGTTGTGTATAAAGCTGAAAAGTCGTTAGTTTTTAAGCTTTTGATTTTGGTAAAATCTTGTGATTTCAAATTTTCCAAAAGTTCCTTGGAATTTTTAAGTATTCACATCTGATTTACACCACTTCTCGAATATATTGTTGCACAGTACTCTTGAAGATTCTCCTTCACTACTGTTAATATCTTAGTGAGGAGTAAAGAAAGAGGCTTGGTTGAACCTTTACTGGAACCCGCTATGTACCTTTGTTTGTAAGGATTTTTATGAAGTTTAGGAATCCAATATAAATATGGTAATTCAAATTCATTTTGGTTGTTTGGAATATTAAAAATATTCAAAACTGACATATGATTTTGAAGAATTTCTTCCTTAGAAAGGGAACTATGAGTATAAGTTGGATTACCACTTATAGAATTAAATCCAAGTTCCTCTAAAATACATTTCATATAATGAGCCTTACAAACAAAGACAATGTTGTTACTTGCTTTGTCAGCAGGGACCAGTACGTACTGATCATGTAATCTATCTAATTCTTTTTTCACTTCTGGATTATTGAATACAGAAGGATAGATGGTTCTCATATTGCCCCTCAATCTTTTAATGCGCGATTTTAACATACATCTGATACATTTAATCCATTCTGACAAAGCGCCAAGGTCTTCTTTTTCATGTCTGGCCCATCGGCTGGCGTAGTCCTCTACGGAATCCATAATATTTATGACCTTTTAAAATTAGTAATCTAAGGTTCTCATTATTAACTATATTTACGTCACCAGTAATAACGTGTCCAGCAGGACTATAGTTATAGGGTGAAGAAGAACATGAACACGATGGAGGATTATGTTTCAGATATTCGATATCCAGGCCCTGTAAAGTTACACAGATTATAGAATCTGTGAAAGTATCATTAAATTTTATTCAGTGGTATAGGAGGAGTTGCGGATAAGAAATGGGCACCCTTCAATATTATAGAAAGAATGGCAGTGTCCATGTTTTGCTATGGGAAACCCGAAATATGTGTCCGATCAAAAAGTAAAATAAGAGGTGCACAATGGCACTATGTAACAAATATTCTGTGAAAGTTTCATTAAATTTCATTCAGTGGTATAACAGGAGTTGCGGATAAGAGATAGGTACCCCAAGGAGTAACAGACGGACGGACGGACGTACAGACGGACGGACGGACACCCCGATCACTATATACCCTCCCACTTTTCAAGCAGGGGCTATAAAAAGTTCCCCTTTTTTCGGTAGAATGGATTGTGGAATCTTTGTGACAGCCAACTGATTTCCACAAAATTTCTGCTACTGAGCTGAATAAACAACTTAAAAATTTTTATGCAATGGCTGCAACTAAACCAAATTAAAAAAGAGCACAATCTATGACAAAAGACAAGCATCGGAATACCACGGCAACATATATAAGAACATAAGATCAGGAATTATCAGCCATGTCCACGACAGTGGACGTCAGTTTGACAAAGTGCTTGACAAAGAATTTAAAGGTAGCAAAAATGTCTAACAAGAAGGGCTCTCTCGACCAACAAAGCACAAGGTTGTTATTCCTAAAAACGAACTTGATAAAATTTAGTGTACCTTTATGGAGATTCAACACCTGTGTCTTTAAGATTCAGCATCTGGTTTTAATCGCTATTCAATTTGTCAGCAGGGGACTCGAGTTCCACGAGCAGCTAAAGGTCGACTCTTTTCAGTTTAACTTCTATGAAAATGGACATG